TTAATACATATATACATACATATATACATATACATAAATATATATATATATGTATATATGTATGTGTATTTGTATTTGTATATGTATATGTATATGTATATGTATGTATGTATGTATGTACATATATACCTACATGCATAAATTATATTTATATATATATATATATATATCATTATATATATAATTTAATATACACATATGTCCATATATATATATGTATATATATATATATATATATACATATACATACATGTGCATCCCAGGCTCCTGGGATGCATCCAGTGGCCTACTTAACGACTCAAACGGCGCAGTGCCATGGAACATCCAGGGCATGATGGCCAACCCGCTTCATCAATGCAGCATAAGCTGCATGTCCTGCGATAACAGCTGGCTTTACTTGTATCGCCTGCAGGACATAAAGACCTGCTGCAATTGTGGCACTCCATGGACCTTGAGCCTGGTGAATGCCGGCTTAACCCTGCGAAACCCGTCCGGGGTGGTGCCGCAGCATCCATGAGTGGTCAGAGACCACATGATTGTGCCATAGGCATCATCATCCTCCATGCCACCGCCGCCCGGCATTCATGTCCTGATGAGCAGCAGCAGCACCAGCAGCACCATCGACGGCATCAGCAAGAGAAACAGCATGCGAAGCCTGATGGCCATTTTGTTGGCATTGGAGGATGCAATTTCAATAAGAGCACATCTTCTGCAGTGCAAAGCGAGAAAAAGTGAGTGTGAGCCTGCATCTACATAATAGGACATCACAAATCCCAAGACCCAACCCATGAACCCGAAATTCTGGATTGCCACCCTAGCCTAAAGCCTAAACCCTCCACATGTGCATGTTGTATAGTGTGCATAGATACATGCACACACACACACATAGACAAACATAAACCATAAAGACAGACATGCACAGAGAGACACAGACACACACACACACACATATGCAGACACACACCTAACAAAACCCGAGCCCCTTGAACACCTGAAGCCTCAACATCCCAAACCACCAACACCGGATGCCCATGAAGCCTTCAAGCCCCAAGCACATGATGAAGCAGGAGCAACGGTGCTATAGTATACTTGACATATAGCACATAGAGAGGCACCCATGCACACACACAGCATGGACACGATAGCATGTGAAGCAGCAGCATCAGCACAGCCCATTGGCCATGCCCGCAGTGCAGTGGCCATCCAACAGCCAGTGCCACAGAAGGCCACGAACACCCCAAACCCAGACCCTTGAAACCCAAACCCCACATGTCTGTATATGGCCAACATGGCAGTCATGAAGCACACAGCCAGGCGGCAATGCATGATGTGCATGCATCAGGATATGTTCCGAGCAGCTGTGATTGCTTCATAAGAGAACAATCATCAGGGCAACATAGGGCAAACCACATAACCTTGAGTTTAACTACATTTACAGTTAAATTCAGAATCTGAATCCAACTATTGAAAATATATAATTGATTTCAGAATCTGAACTTAATTTCATAATTCAAGTAGTTAGATTCAGATTCTGAATTTAATATTCAATATATATGAATTAGGTTCAGATTCTGAATTTAAATAGTAAAATGACGCTGCATAAACACTTTGTTGTCATACTTCATTCGACATCAAATTGATTGCCAGCCATGGCCATGAATGATGCTGCTAGCTCCATTACTGGCCATGCAAGCACTGCCCCGAGCAGCCCATCCAGTCATCCGACATGTGTGTCACCATCACCTGCAGCGACTGTGTGCTCATCCGACGACGAGCCATTGGATGCTGCAGAGGAGATGCTGCGGATGGCACGAGAGGATGCCATGGGCCGCCGCCACATGGACTTGGACCCCACGGTGCCACTGCTGAACATGCCACCCGTGGCCGATCCCATGCATGGTTGTGCCGGCCCATGCATACCAACATGCCTGTATCAGAGGCATCCAGACTACCCCCCCATTCTCGTTCCGACAGCCTCCTTGTTTGCGGTGGGGGGGACCATCATGCCATTGTGCCCACCCATCCCACCACCCCCCACCCCGGCAACATTAGCAGCAGTAGCTAGTGCTGCCGGAGCAAGGCCAGTGCCGCCACCGGCCCCCGTGCGAGCACCCATGCCTTATCCATTCTGTGACCCCGTGCCCATGCCCAGGGGTCCCGGCAACCTGCCATGGAAGGGCCCACCCAGCACACCCCGACCATCCATTGCAACCCAGCATGAGGAGGTGAAGCATGAGATCAAGCAGGAGGAGGACATCAAGCAGGAAGTCAAGCAGGAGGACACCATCATGCAGCCAGAAAGACATGGCTGCCCTGCCGAAGACATGCAGCCACCGCCATCCCCAGCTGCATCCGACACATCCATGCCCCCCGCAAGCAACACACAGCCCCCACCAGCCAAACCATCAACAGCAGCACCTCCCGAGCCAGCATATCCACCCGCCAAAGCTCCCAAACCCACATCCACACCACCGCCCGCCAAACTTCCCAAACCCACATCCACACCACCGCCCGCCAAAGTTCCCAAACCCCCATCCACACCACCGCCCGCCAAAGTTCCCAAACCCCCATCCACACCACCACCCAATGTTGCCAAAGTTCCCATGCCCCCACCCTTTCCACCGCCCAGAGCCAAACAATCATCCGGACCATGCCCCGCACAGCGGGCCACTGGCTGGAAATTCAAATTGGTCTGGGCAGCGAAAGCATGGAATGCACAGGATTGGCATGGACTGCAAGACATCGTCAACACCATGCGAGAAGACTTGGTTAACAACCAAGATGCTGCTGGTGCATGGAAGGACAAAGCAAGGAGCTTCATCGAGGCATTCAACCAGCATGACTGGCACGAGTGCAAGCACCTCATGGAGTGGTGCCTCAGAATGCACATGAGTGCAATGTTATGTATATATATATATATATGTATATAGTATATACACACATACATGTATACGTGTTTCTGATATAAATGCATGTTTGCCCCACATATACTTAATAGCTTGTACATACATGCATACATAGATACATATACGTGTATACATCCATATAAATGCATGCATGCCTACATGCATGCATACATACATACAATGCAGACTGAAACTGGCTCTATATATATATATATATATAATTATATATATATATATGTATATGTGTGTGTTATATGTATATATACATATGTGTATGTATATATATATATATATATATATATATAGATAGTCCTTCTATATATACATATGCATGATGTGATATGTACCTTTGGGATATAGATATACAAATATATATATATATATATATATATGTATATATATATATATATGTATGTACACATGTAAATACATATATGCATATCTATATATATATATATATATATATGCATATATGCAATATAAAAATAAAAAAAAGTGTATGTTTAGACAGGTATGACGAGTGTCTTTAGGTCCGTGTCATATACATATGTATATAAATATGTGTGTATCTCTATAGAGGTATGATGTGTTTCTATGGTTGTGAACAAATATATATATTTTTTTTTTTATATATATATATATATGTGTGTGTGTGTGTGCTTCCGCAAGCAACATGCATACCCAAATCCGTCCTGAAGTAGAAGGCTGCTGTTGAATTAAGACACACAACAATACCCTGTAGATGCATATAGACCACTTCATGTTTATACATGTATATATATATATACTCTATATGCCTTCCAACATATGTATAGTCCCTTTTTGTATTTGTTGGCATCCAAATTAGTAGCTACGTACAAAGCCACATTTTCAGCATGTCTTCATGTACCAATCTAATGCTTGGATGGCAAACATTATACCGAATAAACCAAAGCTGCCGACCATGCAGTTTTAGTGGTTCTTTGAAGCATTGTTCTCAGTTCTTGGAAGCCAGATATACATGTATGTTCTGCAACCCAGGTACCAGAAGGAGCCCATCTTCAAGCAGATGGTGGAGCATGATGACCATTCAGCGGCCATGCCACCAGATCGCTTTCGGCGACTGCAGTGAGGAAGCATGCACGTGGCATCACGGTTTTTGCGAGAAAAAAGAGCAGCACCGGTTTGGAAGCCATCCAGTCATTAGCTCTGCTTTTGGAATGTGGGATTGAGCAGGAACACCAGCAGCCATGCATGGGCCCACCCAGGCATTTCCAGTATACCAGCCATCTGGCCATTATAAGCAATCCCAACACATGATGCCAGTTGGCAATGAAAAAGCATTCCCAACTTAGGCTTTCACAGTGTCTGTCTGTAAACACACATATATATATAGAGTTTATGTTGTGCCTCAACCTTTCCCAGACACAGTATATAGCCAGGTGCATGAATCCTCAAGGCCCCCCAAAACTATAGATCATTGAAGTAGATATGATACACTATATATTTATATATGTATTGTGTATATACATAGCACCGTATGCATTCATTTGTAGCAACCTTGTTATAAACCTGAAAGCTTATGAGCCTTTGTATAGACATATATATATATATATGTATATGTACACAAAGACACACATGTATGTATCTATAGAGGACACCCAGAAGCCGTGTATATAGAATATAAATGTATATACGCATATATATATATATATATGAAAATGCAGCATAGTCTTTATGTTTTACATATGTATACAGCTTATACATACATATATATATATACACAAACATGTTTAGTAGTGTCAATGTTGGTTTTGAGGGTAGCTTTAAGGGTAGAAGTGTGTGTGTGTATATATATATATATACATACATCATATGTATATATTTGAGATCACAGAAACATGATAATATAGAACAACTATATATCAGGAGACACATGTAAATGCATACACATATATATATATATATATATCTACTTATGTAAATAGTGCTGTTTCTGACACTTGTTTTTCATGTGCTATCTGCAGCGATGGGAGGGACTTGCACGCAAGAACATTCATGGTTTGCAGCCATCTTGGCCATCCATGCCCACGTGGCCATTGTCCGTATAGGTAGGTTCGCTCGAAAGCCATGTCTCAGCACTGGACAATCGATGATTTCATTGCCGAGTTGGGGCATTTGGACTCACTGGCCCAGAACAGCCCCAACAGCCCTGTGGTCCAGTCCATGACGAATGCATTCATATCTCGCATCCAAGCGGCATCCAATTGGACATCGGCCGGTATCGTGGCCATGCTGGAGAAAGCCAATAGCATGCAGGCCGACGTGAAGCCCAGCCTCGTGACTGCCATAGAGTCATTGAACACCATGACAGGCTCGCATCTTCGCCTCACATCCTCGGGTCAGAAGGTATTGGACTTCAGCCCGTACCTGACTACCATGGATTGGGAATGCATGTCGGCCGGCATCGTGGCAGACAGCATGTCCATGCTGGCAAAGCGAATGCGGTGCATGGGGATTACATCAGCCAAGGAGTGCTTGGTCCGGCATGCCATAGCCCTGCTGCTTTGGCAGCAGCATACATTGGGCAAACCCATGGCATCACCGTCAGCCATCCATGACATGGTTGAGGACTTCAAGACCATACTCCATGCCACCCCCATGCCTGCCACCCATGGCGCCGGGGTGTTGGTGTACCCCAGCACACCTGCAGAGATGGGCCAAGACTGGCTGTTGCAAGCATACGGCAATCATCATAGGCCGGCGGGACGGACCATCCAGTTGGCACATTGGTCCAAGGCCATTCCCATGCGGTCCACATCCTCATTGCTGAAGCCCATGCCGAATCCTGCCCAGGCACGGCCATCAGACAGTGCTGGGGATGGGCATGCCCTTGCTGGTGTTGCTGGGGCATTGTGCCAGTTCCTCAACAACTGGGCCCCATCAGCTAAGGCGCCCGCAGCTGCATCGCAGCTAGCATGATGGACATGCAGGCCATGTGCAATTCATTGCTCCGGGCCAAAGCCATGCTGCACCCTCCACACTGGCATTGCCGTCCTCAGAGCCATCGAGGCATGCTGCACCCTCCACACTGGCATTGCCGTCCTCAGAGCCATCGCACAGACCCGTTGCCACACCGGCACGAGCTCCATCTGTGCATGCAGCCGCAGAGGAAGCTCCGGAAGCCAATGGGTGTCCCATGGATGGCAAGGATGAGGACAGCCATGAGACTGAGAAGAACCATGCGAAGACATTGGAAGAATGGGACAAGGAAACATTCGAGAAGTTGTCCCAGAAGAGGAAGGCAGAGCATAAGCCATCTGCCAAGGGCAAAGCAAAGGCCATGCCCAAGGCAAAGGCCAAGGCCAAGGCCAAGGCAAAAAGCTTGGCCATGAAGGCACATGGACATGAGAAGGCAGCATCGGCAGAGACCGCATCGACCAAGGCCAAAGCCAAGGCCAAAGCCAAGGCTAAAGCCAAGGCGAAGGCACATGCGAAGCCGCATGCTCAGGCACATGACCTGAAGCCGGGGGTGCCTCCCTTCGGGTGCCCCCGATGCCGAGGAAATGTCCTCGGCTGCCCGACATGCACATCTCCGACATACAACGGGATACGTCTCCCTGGAAGGGAGGCATGGAAGGCCCACATGAGGGCCATGGGTAAGGAGATCAAATGAAGCATTCAGCTCATCACATGAGCCATGCATGCCATCGCATGCATGAAATGGCCCGGCATCGAGTAAGCCTGGACAGCCATTTTTGCAGGCATCATTGTGGTTTGTCCCATAATGAAAGGATGTCCATGTATAGTCCCCATGCCAGAATGTGGCATGTCCCACAAGCCATGCTGCCAGAACATGGCAGCATCACAATTGGCCATGCAAGGATCAGTTGGGACCGCAACAGAGCAAAGGAATTGAACATGTTGTTTGGACTGCATAAGGTTTCGCATGAGTGCCATGCTGTGGCCATGCCAAAGTCATGACTATGTTATTCTGCATGCAATGTCATTCCATGAGCTATATATATGGGCGCTTTATTGGTATGGAGCCTTTTTCCAACCCATGGGTTGGAAAAATGGTCCATAGCAATATAGCGGCAAAGCATGCCCAAGATTTAGACCCAGCTTTCAAAGAAGGGTACATTTCAGCAAACATGGGTATTGGACTTCCGGGTTTCGGGTTGAAGTCAGACTTTCGTGTGTGTGCGGGTTCGGGTATAAATGGTTTTGGGGTGTGGTGTTTTAGGGTTTGGTGTTTTATGCCTTAAAGGATTTCCCGGTTAAGGGTTTCATGGGTTTAGATTAATATATATTTTTTCTATATATACATGGTTAAGCCTGTCCGGGTTTAAGGCTTTCGGCTTATATGGTGCTCTATATTATTACATGGGTTAGTGGCCTTTAAAGTTGTCGGGTTTAGGCTTCGTATATGTGTGTATATATATATATATATATATTTATTTATTTATTTATTTATCTTATTATGTACATACATAACATGTCTATATGCATTCACATAGACAAACACATGTATGTCGATCTCATCGTTATATATGCAGGGCGAAAGCCATGCCCTTGTTGAAACAGCCCATGTGGCCATGTACCCGTGAGCAGTCCAAAGATCAAACAGGAGAATCAGGACCATCAGCACAGGTATAACCCATCATGTCAACATATATATATATAATATACACCATGTACATGTTATTTGTGTGCAGGCTTATATGTAGAAAGCAGAAGGTTAGATAGAGAGGTATATAGATATAGATATAGACGCGAGAGAGTGACACAAGCGAGGCCATCCATCATGATTGTATACAAGTCCCAAGGTGATTTCAATACATATATATATATAGATATATACGGATATATATAATCTATATATGTATATATAAAAACATGTTGTTAACTATGGGTTCATATATAAGGTTTATGGATTTAAGGTGCCCCTTCTTTTGGCGACCATGTGCTGTAATCAATCTTATGTGCCTATATACAGCACCATGTTTTGATTTTGTCCATGCTGTTTGCTTGAAGCCATGGACCGGGCAAACAAGAGAGCCAGAGCCAAGAAATTGGAGGTCATGATGGCATTCCAGAGCAACCTTCCGGCCCATAGCCAATCTGCACTCGCCGCCATTGTCCAACGGTGCAAGACACATGAGATTCCGGAATGCTCATCATCGAAAGAGCAACGAAATGCAAGACTTCATTTGTTGCAGCAGTCCCATGGTGGCGGCTTGGGGCCATTGCTTCGGGAGGGTTCATTGGCCATGATGGATGGGAGCAGCCGGACGATCTGGTTTACATCCATGTTGGTGTTGTTGTGCAACATGTACCGTGAGTGTCCATCGTTTACGGCATTGCTCCAAAGGAGACATGCCCAAAAACCAAGCACAGCAGAGAGGCCATGGTCCCTTCAACTTTACACAGATGAAGTGGTGCCTGGGAACGTCTTAGGACGTGCTGATCGCAAGTTCTGGACCATATATGGGACCATCATGGAATTTGACAACCATGCTCAGCGAGAGAACCATGGATTCCATGAACAGCTTTGGTTCACATTGTGCACAGTCCGGTCGAGCATCATCATGCAAGCAGATGGAGGCATCGCCCAGGTCATGGCAATGATTCTTGAATCCATTTTTTGCAATGACATGATCCACCTTCCTCATGGAGGGTTGCTCCTCAAGCATCCCATGGGCCCACAAGAAGACATTCGGTTGCACATGACATGGAACTCCATGATATGCGATGGGGCTGCTCATAAGGCTGTGTGGAGCTCGAAAGGCGACGCTGGTACAAAATTTTGCATGTTGTGTGCTAATGCCATAGGGCATCGGCCAACATTGGAACAACAGCAGGCCATGCCGGAGCCATTGCCAGATGACGAGCTTTTCATAGATACCTCATGCACCACATACCGTCAACTCCGGTTGGTGTCTGACCATGAAGTCTTGGCATCTTATGCAAGGCTGGCCGCAAAACATGGCACATGCACCAAGAAGGAGTTCACGAAATGGGAGCAGGCATGTGGCATCACATTCAGCAAGAAAGCATTGTTGACGAACGAAGCATTGCTGGAGCGATCTTTGCTTCGACCATGCACGACATTTTGTCATGACTACATGCATGGTGTGTTTCAAGGAACGGCGGTGGTGGTCCTGCATCATTTCTTGCAAGATGTGAGTGAGCATCTTGATGTGTGGCAATTTTTGCATGGTTACATTGATCATTTCATTTTCCCAGCTGCATGGAAGATGACCCATTTGAAGGTCTTGTTCGACGAGAAGCGAGCCATCAAGGGCAAAAGTGCCCAGAAGTTTTCCTGCATGGCCTCGGAGTGTGCGGCCATATACGGACCCATCAGGCAGTTTGTCCATTCGGTTCTGGAGCCTCGAAACATATGTCCGGAAGCATGCAGAGCATTTCTTGCCATGGCCTCCTTCGTTGACCAAGTCCATGAAGGGGTCCAACATCAGGCCACGACACGTGCATCCCTTCTTCATGCGGCCGAGCAGGCCATTAGCACCTTCAAGACATGGGGCCCATGCGGCCTCATCCGGAAGTGGCACTGGACATTGCATTTGCCTGACACATTACATCGCTATGGTTATCTTCCTTCATGCTTTGCAGCAGAACGGAAACATAAAACCATAAGCACACATGCGACGAAACTGCAGAAGACGATGCAGTTCGAGCTCCATCTCATGCAAGCCATCGTGCCCGACGAGCTGCAGGCATTGAAGGAGCCGAACCTCTTCCCGGCAGGCATCCATTTCATGAAGGCCAAGAAGGCAAAGCCCATGGAACTCAAAACCATGGCTGACTTCCTCAGCCAGAAACCAACAGAGGCCCACGTGGCAAGTGCTGCGAGGTTGCCCCATGGCGCCCAGATCCATAGTCAGGACGTGGTCGTGTATAACATGGACAGGCAGACATGGGAAGTGGGCCAGGTGCTTTTCCATGCTGACGTTTTCAACACCCAGGTTTCACTCGTCCATGCTTGGGACATGCTTGAATCCCATCCGAAGCACAGGGTGGCCGTCTACCATCCCTCAGGCCGACACGGCTTCATTCCGGTGCAGGCCATAATGTTTGCAGTGGTTTTCAGGAAGCCAGAGCATGGACCAGCCAAAGTGCTCATGCCATACTCCATGTACTCCCGTGCCCAATTCGCCCAAAAATGCATGCAGTGCTTTGCTTTGCAGCTGCACATGCTTCATGGTCTACATCGGCCTGCTGGCCATTAACTGTATATACTTTTCCGACTTCGCATGCAGTCTTACAGGTTTCTTATCCAAGCCATTTGGCTCTTGACTTTGACATGTCTTTTCTTTTTTGTGTCAGCCCCATTTTGCAAGTACCTTTTGTATTGAGCTCCATTGTCTCCTGGCCATATTTTTTCTTTGCAACGACTGCCACAACTTCCTTATCAGTCTCTTAATTTCACGAACAAGTTAACTAGTTATAACGAGTTACATAAAACAGGCTAACTAGTTAGTAACTTTTACCTATCTCTACATAACCAACTTAACCACTTATAAGAAACCGGGCATTCCAAGCAGGTCACCGAAGAGGGCCAGCTCTGTTACCTGAACAGAGTGGTGAAGGGCTTCGAGGCGCAGGCGGCGCCGAACTCCAGCCAGAAAACCAAGGACTGCTTCTCTTCGTTACGAGGGTTTTATTCGGCACGATTTTGCGTTTGTTGAGTCATGTCAGTCAATCATGTGCCCTGCAAGAAAGCGGCCCAGATGCCGCTGGAGAAGCATCAAGAGTTGTTGCAGTTTTCGCAGATGTGGGTTGGAGCTTTGCCGGCCTTGCGAGCGAAATTTGATGAGAAGATTATGGCTCGCCTCGAAGACATGTTCATGCAGGGGCTGCTCAGCTGCATTAAGTATTTGGCATTCTACGAGTGTCCATATCTTTAGGTTGTGAATGCGGATGGACTGTGGGGAGTAGGGAATACTGCGGCGAGAAACTCCCTAATGCCCTTGGGCTCATTGGGGGACTGGAATTGCTTTCGGGCGGCCAAATCCATTTGGCTGGCTCTGGGGCTCAGGGATAGCATTCCCCGGCGGACTAGATTGCTTATTTTTAATTTGGGACATCCAAATCCATTTGGCTGGCTCTGGGGCTCAGGGATAGCATTCCCTGGCGGACTGGCATTGCTTAAGGGATGTGTTCGACGAGGGACTACTGTAGCCAAATTGGATTTGGCCACCGAGATCGTGACTGGTTTTGCAGAAAACCAGTCGCGCAACCGGCGGCCAAATCCATTTGGCCACCGAGATCGTGACTGGTTTTACAGAAAACCAGTCGCGCAACCGGCGGCCAAAGCCATTTGGCCACCGAGATCGTGACTGGTTTTACAGAAAACCAGTCGCGCAACCGGCGGCCAAATCCATTTGGCCACCGAGATCGTGACTGGTTTTACAGAAAACCAGTCGCGCAACCGGCGGCCAAATCCATTTGGCCACCAGATCGTGACTGGTTTTACAGAAAACCAGTCGCGCAACCGGCGGCCAAATCCATGTGGCCACCGAGATCGTGACTGGTTTTACAGAAAACCAGTCGCGCAACCGGCGGCCAAATCCATTTGGCCACCGAGATCGTGACTGGTTTTACAGAAAACCAGTCGCGCAACCGGCTGCTAAATCCACATGGCGATTTTGACTGGATTCCTGGAAAACCAGTCGCGAAATCATAGGTATATGGAGGTCTCAGTCGCAGCTTGGACTATTGAATCCGAACACCAGCCGTGACTGACATCCACCAAGACCAGTGATTCTGTGACTGGTTTTCTGGAAATCCAGTCGCAACTCTGGGTTTCTAGAAACAGCTTGGTGCTTGACTGGTTTTAGGAGGTTTTGGGGGGTTTGTTGTTTTTTCAACTTCCCTCCTACCTAGCCAGGACGAGCCCGCATTGCAGGGTAACTTCGAACCTTAAACCCTAAACCCTGAACCCCTAAACCCTCAACCCCGAAACTGATCAATCCAAGGCTGTTGGACACGGACCTTCGCGGGCAGTTGCACGGCCGGGACAGCATGAACGTGGACAAGCTTCCTGTGGTCTTGGAAATGGAGGGAAAGGTGTCAGAAGCCTTTGTCCTCAACTCGCACAGCAAGCTCAACAACGCGAAGCACGCCGCACTCAAAGCCGCCTACCAGGTGTGGAGAGAGGAGCTGAAAGCCGACCAGCTGAACCATGAGACAATGGTCCGTGCGTGCCTTTCAGAAAGCGCAAAGCGCAGGAATGCGTTGCTCAGGTCCTTGGAGGCCGGAGGTCCATAAATCCAACGTTTGTGTCATGTGCGTTGCCCCGGGTGACCCGCGGACAGGAGGCCCACCACCGAGCCTGGGCAATGGTGGAGGACCACTGCGCTGCGCGGGCAAAGGTCTTTGGGACCCCCGCGAACCAGCTCAACGACGCGGTTTCGTGGCAGCAATCAGCACAGACTCGCCCGGGCAGCAAATCAGAGGAGATGCTTGAAGATGAACCAAGGTGATGCCGACGATCCTGCCGCACTTGCAGCAGAGCTTCGGCCCGGCGCTGGATGGCAAGCCGGGGGAGGAGGCACTGGTGATGCTGCTCGGCAGAATTATCTTGAGCTGAGTGCCAGTCGCCTCATGATGAATTTCGGCCCACCCTCCCGCTTGCCAGGGTATGGAATTTGCCAAGCCAGGGGGTTTTAACAGCCCTCAAGACGGAGTATTGCGTGAGCTGCACCACCAATGTTTTGCACCTGCATGCGTTGCGCGGCGTGGCGGTGATAGTGTTTCCTAACCGCGCAGCCGCTCCGTCGGAAAAAAAGACGCCGCTCTTCGGCAGCAGCACGATGTTTGTGTTATTTTGGATTCAAAGCCCTGTGTTGATTCAGCACTCCGTATTCTCCTTTAATTTCCATTGCCGGTTCCAAGGAAAGACGAAGACGACGAAGAGGAGGAGGTAAAGGAGGAGGAGGACCAAGACGACGAAGACGCCGTCGGCGACAGCGAGAAAAACGATGAGGAGGTGGCTTCGGACCAAGCGGTGAGAGCACTCAGGTACGACCTCCTCAAGCTCTTCAGCGAGCCGAAGAGAAAGTTGGAGGTGAAAGAGTGCATCTTTCAGTTTTCGGAGGACAGTGTCTTTGGTCTCGGTCCTGCATCTTGCACGGAGAAACAGTGCATCTTTCTGTTGTCGGAGGACAGCGTCTATGGCTCTCGGTCCTGCATCTTGCACGGAGCGCTGGTGACGGTACCTGGATCGACCTTTTAAGAGCAATGGGGGGCCTGTTCTTATCCAATCCATTGATGCCCCTGCTCCGCGTTGAATTGCAAGGCACGAAACCCCTCGAACATCTTCCTCAAGTCGAAGCCCTTCAGGCACGGATTCATTCAGGGAATCGCGCCTTGGATGAATTTACCGCCCAATTGGTGCCTATCGGAAAGCAACATGTCCTCGCATTTTTTTGCCGAGGAGATGCTGCCCCGCAAGGACATGTTCAAGCCTGACAAGGGTCTTCTGACAACGGATGTCATGAGCGACAGTCAGGAACAGAGGCAGGCTTCGGCAGATTAAACAGTAATGCATGCGAAACATAACAAGCAAAACCATAGTTGCATAATAGTTTGATGAATAATCATAATAAGAATAAATAGGTAATAATAAAAAATTATAAGCCCCTGAACCCGTATAAACCCCTGAACCCTAAGCATTATTATGGTACTTTTTCTTATTGATAGCAGTAAGCAGCAGTTATTATCTTATTATTATGATTATAGTGGCAGGCGGCACTGCAGGCCGGCGGCGGTGCACTCCGCCGATTACACCCTAAACCCGAATGCTTAACAGGCCCCAAACCCTTTATATTTCCGGCAATTTTATTCTATTCTCGCTCGTCGTTTGTCCTTCTATCCAACCTCAGGCAAGTCAGTGCCGGGACATCCTTCATCAGGGAAACTATGCGTGCCTTGCTGGAGAAGCTTCCGTCGGTGAAGCGAGTGGCCCTGGTGGATGCCTTGGGCTACGACGGATCCGTTCCTCTGGCTGTCTTGGAGGACCGGCCATTAGTTGGTTAAGGGTTTAGGTTCAGTGCCTGGATAGTTTACGAGTGAAGTGATCCAGTCCAGGAGCAGGCGAAGGGTGCGGATTGGAGCTCCGTGACCATCGCGGACACAAAGATTGCCAATTTGATCGAGGGGAGGGTGCGCGAGCAGGCCTACTCACTTGCCCGCACAGGTACCCTTAGCCTGCCAGGCTTCCCGAACTTTGATGCTTTGACTGCCGGCCTCCGAGAGACCGAGAGACTGCGGGGCCGACGACGCTGGATGCGGCCGACTTCAAGGTCACAAGGCCTCTACCGGACGGCGACCTGGCTTTGGTGGAAAGCTTCTACAAGAAGTTCGAGGGCTTCGACGACATATCCGAAGACCTTCGCAAGGCTATGGAGGAGCACGACAAGAAGTACAACCCGCAGAAGAAGCGGGTGCGCGAGGATGCGGGCGCAGATGAGTCGGAGGAGTCTGCGGCTAAGCGGATCAAGCTCGTGGAGCACGAGGAGCCCCTCACGAGCAAGGACATCGCCGAACTCCAGAATCCGTTTCTTTATATCTATTAATTTGTATTCTTTAATCTCATCTATACGTCATCATTGTGAAACTTAACTGTGACTCAGATTACTGACTCATTGCTTCAGGTCGGTTCTGAACGTGAGCGGCACTGTTCGCTTCATCCACGAGATGGAAAGTGGTGACAAGATCTGGGCGGAGGTGGACGAGGCGACGACATTCCTTTCCGGCAAGTTGATTGCAAGCTTTGGCAGCGGCACCTTCATGGATGGCAAAGATGCCGCGAAGACGCTGGACTCTTGGATTGACATTTATTTCGAATGGTTGCTTTGAGTTGGGGGTTCAGGGTCCTTGAGGGGTCGATGCTTCCATGAAATTGCGCCTTTCCAGGCAGAGATCGGCAGCGAGGACGACGGCCCAAAGCCCAGTCCAAAATTTTCCCCTTGCTGAGCACCGTCAAGTCTCCACAGCTGGCCACCAAAACCTCGTCCAGGATGATGGAGCCTGCCAGAGAGATGCAAACAGAGTCTTCCTTTTGTTGTGGCTTATAGAGGGTTTATAGGGTTCAGGATTTGCAGGTTTCTATATAGAGAGGGTTTAAAAGGGTTGTGCGGCAGGCCTCTGTGCACTGCGATTTTTTTTCCGCGAGAGCGATGAGAGCTCTTGGATTTTGTGCCCTGAGCTAACTCGGTGTAACACCAAGAAAGGGACAGGACAGTGCTTTGATATATTGTGCCCTGACCTAACTCGGTGTAACACCAAGAAAGGGACAGGGGAGTGTGGTCTGATATATATATATATATATATATATATATATTGCGCCCTGACCTAACTCGGTGTAACACCAAGAAAGGGACAGGGGAGTGCTTAGATTTTGCGCCCTGACCTAACTCGGTGTAACACCAAGAAAGGGACAGGGGCGTTTGCTTTGTGGATCTCCCCACTGACTCGGTGTAACACCAAGAAAGGAACAGGGGAGATCTCATCTGTCAAAATGGACCAGGAGAACAGAGAGAACAGAGGTCACGACAGCTTCTGCCACTGCAGGTGAAGTGCAAGCCTCATCTTCAGGTTCAGCTTGTGGCTTGCCTCCTCTCGCTGAACACCACGACAGCAGGAAGCCATCAGAGTGCCGAGCTTGGACATGTAGTCCTCGAGGGCCCCGAAACCCAAAATCGTTTAGACTTGAAGCCCTCTCTATATATAAGTCCTAGGACCCATATATGAAACCTCTACACAAAAAACCCTTTGGATTGTGCGAGCACGTGTTTCTAAAGCAGGAGACCATTCATTTCTGTCCTCCCCTCGCCAGCAAGATGTGAGGCCAGGATGAATCAAGTGACTGAGCATGACGATATGCTCGCAGGCATGCATCCTTCTATATGTCTCTGGAAGAAAAGGTTTGTGGGCTTTAGAAAAAGGCTGTTTATAGGGTTTAAGGGTTGCAGGATTTGTGTTTGTAGATTTATAAAAGCCACAAATGTGAAAAACATGCATTGTTCCGGAAGAAGAGAATCTTTTCCGCAGGATTGAAGGCCCGACGATTTTCGCTGCGAAAGCGATCCCCGACCATGACATACAAACATGCGAAGTCCCGAAAGCTCGCCTTCAGTCTGTCTGCAGCTTCGGCAGGAAGGCAGAAATAGCCGTCTGCAATGGGCCATTCCTCCAGTATCTCCTCGAACTTGCATGTCAAATCCAGGAGTAACCCAATCTCTTGCAAGTCCTGACCAGGAACAGCAAAATGAGCCCACATTGCCCGCACGGCTGCTGCCATGTCCTTGATCTCCGCCGCTTTTCCACGAAGCTTCGGAAAGTCGGTCTTCTTCTTGCACATGCTGACCTTGTTCAGCCTCTGGGAGTACGGGCTGTGCTCCTTGTGGGTGGATTGGTATGTCTTCAGAAAGCCCCAGAGTTCATGCAGATTGTCGCTTGGACTCCCCTGCATCGTCTCCTCACAGAGGACCCAAAAAACCGACCCATACAGCTGCTGGAGATAGCCAAGGTACCGGCAATGCATCAGGTCAAAATGGACCACCAGCACAGAGCAGAGGTCCTTCTGGAACATCCTGTTCATGCTTCGGCTCGGCCATGCTTTCCAAGCAGCAGGGGTCCACAGAGTTGTCCTCCATGCGGCATCCTCCGCAAAGCAGTGCCAACTGCGGTCTCCTCTTTTCTGGCACTGGCACAAGCAACAAGGGGAATTGGAATTCCGCCGGGGAAGGCCCTGGAACTGTGCCATGTAGTCCAGGTCTCCACAGCTAGCCACCAAGACAGCTCTATAGCCGTCCGCGAGGTATTGGCCAGCTCGCTGTCCCTCGGGACTGTGGGGATCGAAATCATATCCTCGCCAGTCTTTTTTCGGGAAAACGCCGGACCACAAGGCTTCGAAAGACCAGAGTAAAAGACTCCAGAGGTCATCATTCGTCTCTTTGGAGAATGACTTGTGCCAGGCGGCCCAGATGTAGAGCTGGCTTTGTTTCGTGGAGCCGCTACCCAAAAGGGAAGCCCATGACATCACTAAGGCTGAGGAGGACCAAATTTTCCCCTTGCCCAGCACCGGTGTTTCGTCCCCGTGCAATGATAATGGTATCATGTTCCTCAAGGATGGCTCCGATGCCAGTGGGTGGCCGCGCCACTGCGGCAGCCCTCTGGCCGACTGCCAAAAGCGATCCAAAAACGTCTGTCCAGGCACGATCACTTGTTTCCATGCTGCCTTGTAATTGTGGTAGAGGCTGCTAAATAAATCGTGTGGCAAGCTGATGCTGTAGGCATGCTCGTCGCTGGGCACTCCTTCGACGGGCACGGGCACTTCAGAAGCATCTTTTCGCAAAGTGGTGCGACTGGGATTGTACATCAGTGGCTCCTGCCCGACCAATCTCATCAAGTCCCTGTTGACATTGTTGCTGTGTTGACCGAAGCTTCCAAGCTTGGCGAGGGGCTCGAGGTCAGTCACGGTTCGTTCTCTGGCATCATGCAATGCTGCAGCAGATATTGCTTGCACCTGCTGTGGTGATAGCAGGCCCCATGCAAACTGTTCCAGGAGCCAAACTCTCAATCTGGAGCCTGGCAGTTCACTGGCGGCTGCTGCGATGCCAGCACTTGTGGTCCTCTTTTTTTTTGGTGGTGGCCCCAAACTGGCCATCAGAACATCAAAGATAGGAAATGTCCTATTCGATCATAATTTCATCTAAAAAGTAAACCCTCTAACCCTGAACCCCTGAACCTTTGAAGCTGAAGCCCGTAGGGTTATAGCTCTTGGATTTTGTGCCCTGAGCTAACTCGGTGTAACACCAAGAAAGGGACAGGGCAGTGCTTTGATATATTGTGCCCTGACCTAACTCGGTGTAACACCAAGAAAGGGACAGGGGAGTGTGGTCTGATATATATATATATATATATATATATTGCGCCCTGACCTAACTCGGTGTAACACCAAGAAAGGGACAGGGGAAGTGGTTTGATATATTGCGGCCTGACCTAACTCGGTGTAACACCAAGAAAGGGACACGGGACTGCTGGGTGGTGCTTGATATTCGCGAGACAAAAACAGCTGCGGCCTAGGGCTTTCTGGACAAAATACTTAGCATGATTATCCCTGTTTCTGAGGGTTCAGGACAAAGACGGACCAGGCTTTGGGCAATACTTAGCATGATTATCCCTGTTTTGAAGGGTTTGGACTGAAACGGAAGAGGGCTTTGGGCAATTCTTAGCATGATTATCCGAACTTGTGCGGGTTTCGGGCCACAAGACGGACCACAGGCCTTGGGCAATACTTATAGCATGATTATCCGAACTTTTGAGGGTTCAGGGCCAAGACGGACCAGGCTTTGGGCATTTCTTGGCATGATTATCGGTTTAGGCTGACAGGCCAGAGGGCTTTGGGCAATAGTTAGCATGATTATCCGAACTTGTGAGGGTTTAGGTCCAAGACGGACCACAGGCTTTGGGCAATACTTAGCATGATTATCCGAACTTTGGAGGGTTTAGGGCCCAGACGGACCAGGCTTCGGGCAATACTTAGCATGATTATCCCTGTTTCTGAGAGGGTTTAGGATCAACTCTTTTTATAAACCCTTTTGAAAGCCCTAAGCCCTTAAAAATTCAAGCCTGTGGACCCCAAACCCCCCTAGAGGCCCTATAGAGGCCGGCCTCAGAGGCCACGGGCCTTCAACTGGCCACTCCAGCCACTCATCTCCTCGACCACTTGGCTGCACAGCTGGCCTGTGCAGAAGGGTTCGGATGTATATAGGGTCGCGAGTCGAGGGAAGAGGGTCGCCGATTCAGCACAGCATGTGTGGCCTGCTTCGAGCAGGGTCGTTTGGAGATTGTCCTTGTTGATGCGGGAGCCATCGGGCAGGTCCTGCAGCACACATTTGCATATATATATATATATATATACCATATATAGGCACACTTGTACACACATCTCTCTGGTCCTGGAAGGATCGCACATGCTCCAGCAAAGCTTTCTTGTCCGTCAGAGTTTGGATGGTGGCCTTCCTTGCGGGGGCTGTGACATGAAGCATGGGCTCTCTATACTCTCTGTTACATATAGATTCTGGATAAGATGCATTTTCGCGAGGAGGGGGTCGTCTTTGTTCTGCTTGATCTTGTCGCTCAGCTTGCTTGCATCCTGGAGCTCTGATGTGCAATTCCCTGCCCTGACTCGGTGTAACACCAAGAAAGACACAGGGAACTGCTATGATTCCCGAGGACCTTCTTGAGCTTCTCGACAGCGCTTTCAGCCTTCTTTAGGAGCCCGTCCGCTTTCGACCAATCGGCCTCTGACAAGGCCGCTGGCACGGCAGGCTCCTCCTTCTTGTCCTCGATGGCTTGCATCGCCGGGGGCGGCGGAACAGCCGATGGGCCAGCGGCGTTCCTGAGGTCCTCCTCTGTCGGCTCAGGCCTTTCCATCGACACACTGTCGAACAGGTTTTGGAGTTGTCCTGCCTGGCTGCCTGAGACTCTCAGAGCCTCGGACTTGATGTTTGCCACGTTCTTTCGCTCGTCCATCGAAGTGGACTTCAATTCTCGCCATTGACAGAACACCACGTTGTCTTGGGTGACAACGGAAACTTCATCATTCAAGATCGCGACCCTGAGCTGCTCATCCGACAACCCAAAGCGCCCTTTAAAGAGCGTTTTCGGCAATCCCTTGTCTCCCCACCCAGTGGCCTGCTTCTTCTCCAGACTGCTTTCCCCCGTCACTTCTGCGGCTTCGCAGGCGAGGGCAAGCTTCCCTGTCTCGGGATCACGACTCACTGAGTCCTCGATAAACTTCGTCAGGTTCTTCCTCTTGCCGTTGCCGCCGGCACTCAAAGCCTCCCACT